GACTCAGGTGACCTAAAATTATGTAATTTTATTTACAATTTCCAGAATACTCAGATTTATATGTATCATCAGCAGGAATCTAGTACAATCACTGTGAATTTCCCTCATACAATACAAGCCAATTATACAACTTTATACTGGAACATTTCTTTAGTAAAGACTATGAAAAAAGAGATAATTTTTTTCTAATATTAATTATAGTAATGTGTGCATACCAGGCACTCATGGGGACCAATTTTCAAGGATTTGGAGTATCCCCTTTTTTATTTTTTTATTATTATTATTTTTTTTTTTTTACAATTTCAACAGTGAAATACTCTAATTTATTTATTGAATAATATTCTGACACAGTGTGAAAGGATATCAAAATGGTATTCTCACAGTGTGAGAATATCAGAAGTGCGGCAAAACTTTCGATTTTCCTTCCCATCACGAAGAGTGTTTTAAAACAAGAGGCCTTAATGGTCACCTGAGTATAATACAACAATTTAGAAATTAAATACACTGATAGATGAAGCTTTGTTGCCCTAAAGCAAGAGAAGTAGGAAGATCAGGATCAACAAAATAATTAGTCTAGTATTCAGTATCAACTCATAAATTAAGTTCTAATCTATCCCCCACTTAACACTTTCACCATGCAGACTATTAACAAACTATTAGTGCTTCTGTACTATTTTTAAACCCATATTAAGACCTCTAGCATTGACCTCTCTTATGGTCTTTGAAGAACTTTTAATAAGATAAGTTATTTTTGTCTCATTTTTATTTATCTATTACTTACAGGTCTACCTGATTATTAAAACTAAGAAAGTACTTTTTGAATTATACGATAAACATTCTTGCATAATTATCTTATTCTACCAGAATGCTTAGACATATGGTCCAGATGTTCAAAAATTTGGTAAAAATACGCTTACTTATATCATTTAAACTTTTACTCAGTTTGCTTCCGATATGCCCAGGAGCAGAGAAGAATTTCACAGGTACAATGCATTTTCACTACAGATTCAACAAAGCCTTACCCTAACACCAGAACCCAAGACCACGGGTCAAGAAATTTACATATTTGGAAGAGTTACCCTCATCATCATAACTAGGGACTTCAAAGAATTAACACTTTTCCACTATATTATCAAAAGCCCCCCCCCCCCCACTCGTTATGCCAGAACCCCTGACCCTAGGACCACAAGATTTAAAAATTCTGTTCGAAGCCCCCGTTTTCATCATAGCTAAGCAATTTATTTATCAGCTCAACACTAAGGAGCAGACAGGATTAATTAATGATCAATTAATAGAATTAATGCTTTTTCACTATATAATCAATAGAGCCCCCCCCCCCTCTCAAGAACCCCAAAAACTGAGGCCATATATTTAAAAATTTTTGAAAAGGCATCCTTATGCATCATAACCATGCACTTAGTTTGTTTAAATAATCTCCAGTAGCAGAGAAGAAGATTTTCAAAGAATCAATGCATTTTCACTATATAATCAATAGCCCCCCCCCCCTCCTCAAGAACCCCAAAAACTGAGGCCATATATTTAAAAATTTTTGAAAAGGCATCCTTATGCATCATAACCATGCACTTAGTTTGTTTAAATAATACCCAGGAGCAGAGAAGAAGATTTTCAAAGAATTAATGCATTTTCACTATATAATCAATAGAGCCCCTCCCCAACACCAGAACCCCTGACCCAGGGCCATGGCTTTCACAATTCTGGAAGAAGCCCACCTCCTTATCATAACTATGTACTTAGTTTATCACCTTAATGCCCAGGAGCAGAGGAGAAGATTTTCAAAGAATTAATGCATTTTCACTATATAGTCGATAGAGCCCCGCCCTAACACCAGAACCCCTGACCCTGGGGCCATGAAATTCACAATTTTGAAAGAGGTACTCTTGCTAATCATAACTATGTACTTAGTTACTTTATTAAATATTCAGGAGCAGAGGAGAAGATTTTCAAAGAATTAATGCATTTTCACTATATAATCTATAGAGCCCCGCCCTAACACCAGAACCCCTGACCCTGGGGCCATGAAATTCACAATTTTTGATAAGGCACTTTTGCTCATCATAACTATGTACTTAGTTACTTTATTTAATACCCAGGAGCAGAGAAGAAGACTTTCAAAGAATTAATGCATTTTTCACTATATAATCAATAGAGCCCCGCTCTTACACCATGACCCCTGACCCTGGGGCCATGAATTTCATAATTTTGGAAGAGGCACTCTTGCTCATCATAACTTTGTACTTAGTTACTTTATTTAATACCAAGGAGCAGAGAAGAAGATTTTCAAAGAATCAATGCATTTTCACTATATAATCAAAAGAGCCCTGCCCTAACACCAGAACCCCTGACCCTGCGGCCATGAATTTCACAATTCTGGAAGAGGCACTCTTGCTCTTCATAACTTTGTACTTAGTTACTTTATTTAATAGCCCAGGAACAGAGAAGAAGATTTTCAAAGAATTAATGCACTTTCACTATATGATCTATATAGCCCCACCCTGGGGCCAGAACCCCTGACTCTGGGGCAATGAATTTCACAATTTTGGTAGAGGGCTCAATGCTTATTACAATGAAGCCAACAGTTTGACTGCTTGATGTCCAGGAGTAAATTAAAGAAGAAGATTTTTAAAGAATGCATTATTTTTGGTGGTTTTAGCCCCATCCCTCAGGCCCCAGGGGGGCAGGGACCATGAAATTCACAATTTCTGTTCCCCTTCACCCATAGATGCTATATGTCAAATTTGGTTGAAATTGGTTAAGCGGTTTCCGAGAAGAAGCTAAAAATGTTCAAATGTTAACGCACGACACACGCCGACGGACGAGAACGGATAGCAATAGGTCACCTGAGTGACTCAGGTGACCTAAAAAATAGCTTGTTGCATCGCAGAATTAAAAATTGTCAATTATATACTTCTAAACTATAAAAATAAATTTATTAATTCCGATTTTTCCTACAATATAATACAATTGAGCACATTTCAGCATATTTCTAAAATCTTACTTTGATGGGGGTACAAATATGCCTATATATTTCATTTTCAATTTTTAAATGCCATAGGCCCAATTTCTTTTTAAATAGCTACCTAATTGCAAGTTATACTTTTTAATCTGAGTTATGCTTCATGAACCGTGAACAGTGAAACGGCTGATAAAAAGCGCCTACTGTTACAACCTAGTTTATACAAGCATAAAATGGGCAGCTATTAAATTTATCCTTTATAATCTAATTTTCTATCAATTAGTATAAAAATACGAAATTTCCATTTAAGGAGGTTCGATCCTGAGCCTTTGAGCAGATTTTGGTCTGGACCTTTATTTCTAAAATTCTGCATCATTTTTAAGTTCTAACATTAAATTTGGATTCTACAATGCAAATTAAACTATATCCAATGAAAAAAACGTGATTAAATTCCATTCAAATAGGATTAAGCCAGGAACTATATTTTGTGGCGGAAGGTTTTTTAGAAGAAAATGATCAATTTTTCCCTTTTAAAGTATATACAGTACTGATAAGTTTAAATTCCTATTTTTCCATGCTGGTTGCACACAGAGCTGTTTTTTGCACTGAAATGTTTTATTCTGGTTCTGAAATATCTATTAAATTATTTCTTATGAATTCTTTCATTATATTGTGACAAATATAGTAAATATATTCTGAAAGTCCAGGAAAAAATTGAGCCAATTTTAACATAAAATTAACACATTTTTAGTAATATCTAAAAATTTACATCATAGACACCCACTTTTGTTTTTCTTTTCTGAATATATAAGATAACTTTGATCAATCTGCTTAAATTCAGCAAAAGTTTAAGACTTTAAAATAATTTTCCTGCTTGTTAAATTTTTAATGCCAGAAAAATCACATTTTCTGAGTGCAGAAAGGTCAAATAATTGATTATGCGAAGCAATTTGAAACTTTTTCTTAGTCACAATTTTAATGTGTCTTTTTTCAAATAGGCTAATAGTTTATTTTGTCCCATGATTTATTTGAATAAAAACATTGGAGGGAAAAGGTCGAAGATGTGATTTTTGATTAAGACAAAAATTTCAGTGCAAAAAGGTCATATTAAATGTACTGTAGCGCCAAAAGAAGCATATTGACCCCCATTTTTTGTTTTGATTTTTAATTAAGCTATATGTGTAGGAACTAAAAATATACTTGACCAAAAAAGTTTAAGACTTTAAATATCAGGATCCAACCTCGTTAAAAAAGCCTTCATTTTGTACAAAGTCAAGCGGGTTGATAGGTTTTTGACGCGTCACATATTGTGACGTAGGCACCACGAGTTATACGTGATAGGAATGAATATAGGGTGTTATAGCCAGAATTAAACCATTGAATTTTAAAAAGATTCTTTTTAACTCCACTTTCACATAAATATCAATTTCTTACGAGCTTTAAACAACCAAATAAGAAGTGATATATGGTAACTACATGTACTATAATACGTCTAAATGTATCTTCTACGTGCCAACTATAGCATTTCTTTATCAGTGCAATGCAAAATGAAATATCATTCATATCTTTCCCATTTAAATGAATAAGTACCTTCTCCCAATATTTACTTTTTTCAGAGAATGATATTTCATAGTAGCATATCTTGGTCAAACAAACACATTTTATCTGTTATTTATAAAATATAATATAATTTTCATATTGTTTTCTCTCTTTTCCTGTATTTTGAGAGTGTGTCGGGAGAACAAATATATTTTAATATAAGAAGGCATGGATATTTTTGCCCCTTTCATTTTAAATCACTTCAAACGGGGAAAGGAAAGAATCAAAGGTTAATAAATTTTATGTTAATATATAAGTTAATTAAAACAAGGATTAAATCTTGGAGCCCTAACCATTCCTAAATAAGATTTTTAAAATTCCATCGCAAAAATATCCACCTTTTTCTATTTTGTTGTTTTGTTTGACCTAGATCAATCGAAAGAAGAGAATGACGTGAAAAGCAAAAGTCGTGACGTCATGCATTCACCATGAGCAAGTACAACAACAGCACCAACAAAAGCAGCAGGCTCTGGTAGACCGACTCCCTGTCTGAGCGGGACTGGAGGGAGGGGAATCGCCCGGGGTGGCGTAACTGGATGATCTGTGGTTTCCTATACGTATATCGTTTGATGTTGCAGAGGGTCTTCGCATAACAGTGGTCATCTATAAACAAAAAAAAAAAAATCATCAAATTTTAATTTGGATCTGGATACGGATTGGGAACATATGCTTTTCTTGAACGTGATTGTTTTTCTCTGTTCCTTTGTTAATCTCATTAAACAAATACAAATATTCTTCCAAGCGTTCTTTTTGGTTTGTTAATTAAGCATCTTCTAAGTGTAATGTTCCCATTCCCACATGATTATGCACAATGAAAAGATCGTCATTGTAAAATATGAAATAATTTAGGTGCATAATTTATTGATTTCAAATTTAAAAAAAAAGTTTCTTGTTGTTCTCATGGCTTTGACATCCATTTTGGAAATATTAAACCCCAAAGACTTAAAGAGAAACTTACGCTTCAATTATGCAACTTATAATATCTTTAGAAGAAAATGTTGATTGTTGATTGATTGTTGTTTCACGTTCCATTCGAGAATTTTTCACTCATATAGAGACGTCACCATATACCGGTGAAAGGCTTCAAATTTAGACCTATACTTGGCACTCAGAGCCATTTAGCAGTGAGGGTTCTTTATCGTGCCAACGCCTACCGTGACACTGGACAACGGTTTTTAAGGTCTCATCCTAGAGAACCGTAATTTTTTGTAATAGACAACATTATTTTGTTATTTTTCTTTCCAAAAACTGATAAATTGATCTACCCTCATCGAGAACGCCAACTCTTTATCTTTCCATAACTGGAATGACATTGATAAATTTTCTTTTAATAAATTTGAGATAACGCGTAAATAGATAAAAAAAAATTGAGAAAACCTTTCCTGAAAAAAAAAAAAATAACGCACCATATTACATAAAAGAAGAAAGGCTCAGGGGCCATATAGCCGATCTAAGCAACAATAGCCAACTGACTATACTTTGGCCAAAGTAGCTTTACAAAATCAAATACAATATAAATAAAAAAAAAAAACTTGTATAAAATGCATAAATAATTTTTTCATACCCCTTAATACTAATCAAATGACTGTGAAAGAGGCCATTATATTGTGCGGGAATGAAATTTTTTTCATACTTCTAAATACTTATCAAATAACTATAAAATGACCATCATATTGTGCAGGAAAATCATTTTCAATGAGGATACAGACTTGGATCCATTTTGTCGCATTTCTCGTACCCCTAAGGGTCATATTTGATTTCTTTTTTCGAAAATTCTAAATACAGTAAAAAATATAAGGAAGTCCTTAATACATTGAATGCTTTAAGTCACTTATCGACCCCTACATTTACCGAACTTATTACAGACTGGATAAAAAAAGGAAACGAAATCGTGCTATTAAACAACCATTCCTCCATTATTTCTAAAATACCCATTTCCCTTTTATAACATTTTACGAACACCTTGAATTTGGGAACTAGACACCCCTTAAAAACCTTTAAAACGTCTAAATGAAATATATGGAGATAACGAACAGTATTCAAGCTCAAAAGTCCATTATACAATACAAAATAGGAGCAGAGCAAACACGGACCTCCAAACATCAGAGGTGGGATCAGGTGCCATGGATGAGTGAGCATCCCCTGCCGACCGGTCACACCCGCCGTGTGCTCCTAGTCATGATCGGGAAATAACGGAAAAATCCGTCGACAATTCAGTGTGTAAATTAGTATGAAAAACGTCAGTCAGCATTTGACTCAATGATAAATTGTATTTGCTGACAAGGTCATTGTATCGACCATAGAACTTACGAAATGATGACTTTAGACGAGACAGCTGATATTCTTGTTTCATCAACTTATTTGTCAATAATTTACCTCGTTTTAGAAATTGTACATACGTAGAGCATGCTCTTGCGTATCGAATCAACTGAGAGATATATACCCCGTATGCAGGTGATGAAGGTATATTGCTGCATAAGTAAGGGAAGTTGACGATTGAAAAGTTAAAGTCATCACGTTTATCATAAAGTTTGGTTGTTAGATTACCATTAACGTCTTTTTCAAGTAAAATATCCAAATATGAAACAGATGTGTCGGACTCTGTGGTATCTTTTATCTCAAGTTCACCAGGATATATCGTATCGACATAAGAATGAAAATAGCCATTGTTAATTGACAATACGTCGTCGATATATCTAAATGTCGAGTTGAAGGCCACAGCAAGTGATTTCTTCTTTTCACGTACAAGTTTTTGGACAAATTCTGCTTCATATGAATACAAAAAAGGTCTGCTAATAACGGGGCGCAATTGGTACCCATAGGAATTCCAATAAATTGTTGGAAGACCTGGTCTCCAAATTTACGAGTTCCATTTTTATTGAAAAAGCAGCTGTCAATGATATCAAAAAGCCTGGACTTTAATTTATCGTGGGGAATGGTTGTGTATAAAGTTGAAAAGTCGTAAGTTTTTAATCTGTTGATTTTGGTAAAATCTTGTGATTTCAAATTTTCCAAAAGTTCCTTGGAATTTTTAAGTATCCACATCTGATTTACACCACTTCTCGAATATATTGTTGCACAGTACTCTTGAAGTTTCTCCTTCACCACTGTTAATATCTTAGTGAGGAGTAAAGATAGAGGCTTGGTTGAACATTTACTGGAACCCGCTATGTGTCTTTGCTTGTAAGGATTTTTACGAAGTTTCGGAATCCAATATAAATATGGTAATTCGAATTCATTTTGGTTGTTTGGAATATTAAAAATATTCAAAACTGACATATGATTTTGAAGAATTTCTTCTTTAGAAAGGGAACTATGAGTATAAGTTGGATTACCACTTGTAGAATTAAATCCAAGTTCCTCTAAAATACATTTAATATAATGAGCCTTACAAACAAAGACAATGTTGTTACCTGCTTTGTCAGCAGGGACCAGTACGTACTGATCATGTAATCTATCTAATTCTATTTTCACTTCTGGATTACTGAATACAGAAGGATAGATGGTTTTCATATTGCCTCTCAATCTTTTAATGCGTGATTTTAACATACATCTGATGCATTTAATCCATTCTGACAAAGTGTCAAGGTCTTCTTTTTCATGTCTGGCCCATCGCCTGGCGTAGTCCTCTACAGAATCCATAATATTTATGAAATTCTTACGCCAGTTGAAGGATCTGGGTTCCCTAAATTTAGGACCTTTTAAAATTAGTGATATAAGATCCTCATTCTTAACTATATTTACGTCACCAGTAATAACGTGCCCAGCAGGACTATAGTTATAGGGCGAAGAAGAACATGAACACGATGGAGGATTATGTTTCAGATATTCGATATCCAGGCCCTGTAAAGTTTTCTTGTAATTAAAAAGTTTGGAAGCAATAGTCGATGTATATTTGTAGGAAATACAAGGTGTAGTCTTTAACTTGAAATATGGTGGAATACAAGACTGGACCCTTTTGTGATTCAGGATATTACTTATATTAACCGCGTCAATTCCTTTGTTGGCATATTGAAGTTTAAGGAAAAAACGGATTGTTTTAGCTGCATTTTCTTCAGTAAAACGCGGGGGTTTAAAAAGCCTATGATTGGCAATATCCATAACTACAGATCCGAGCCTATATTCTGGTGTCGAGGAATCAAAAAATGGACTTTCCTTGACCTTTTCAAGAAGACTATTTAAAAGTTTCAAAGGGACAGAGTAAAGTTTGGTGCGAATATGATGTAACCCTAACTGTTGATTTACGTAAGGTAGTAATGAATCAAAAGAGACATCGTGTATTAAAGGTTTATTGTAAGACCGATGTCCATGACTACGCTTACGTCTCTGTGTATGGTTAAAAAGTCCCATCACATTTACATTGTTACACCGTGGACTGGAAAGATTTCCAACACTATCGACATTGTCATTACATCTTAAAAAATCATTACATCTTTGTCATTAAATCTTAGATCCTGAGGTGACGTCATCACCGAAAAGTTATCCAACCAGGTTCAAATAATTATTTATCATACCTAAAATTTGCAAGAATATTGAACAAGCCGTGCACAGTTTTTTCAGAGTGCGTTAATGTGGTCGATATTAACACATTTTGAAAGATTTTTTTTTCAAAGTGCGTTAACCTGGTTCCAAATTTAACGCACTTTGAAATTTTTTTTCAAAGTGCGTAATTTTTCAAAGAGCGTTGTAACAGACCCGTGACTTTCACTTCTAGTACAGAGAGCTTGGCAAAGGAACAGGTACTATCTATGTTTACGTGTTCAGTTTGACACGGCGCGGCGAACGAGAATCGGACGGTCCGGGCCTTCCGAACACGAAGGAACGCCCTACCACCAGGCTTCCGTGATCGGTAAGAAAAAGTTGAGATTTGAATAAAAATCCTTTTTAAGTAGAACTACGAGGGGTGATCAAAAAGTTCGCGAACTAATTGAATTGCTTCCATAAAAGAAATAAAATTAGGTTTCAGTGTTCATTTTTTTTTAAAGTAGTCCTCTCCGATTTTAATGCCCATCTGCCACTAGGGCTGTGTATTGAGCAAAGTATTTCGATACGATACGATGCGATATTTCATAAAGCGATATGCGATATATTGGATTCTTTAAAAAGTCTATCAAAAAAGTCTTGTATATCATTTAATCCATACATTTGATAAAAACTGGGTGTTTTATTAGCAAATTGGAAGTTCATGTCTCACTGTATTTACAAAGTACACTTCAAATTCAAACTTTCAATGATTGTAAAACTAACATGTTAAAATATAGTTGTCTATGTATTTTGTAATAGTTATTTAAGATGTGCTATCTCCTTAATGTTTATTTCATTATTGATCACTTTTAATTCAAAACAGTTAAAAATAACCTTTGCTGACTGAAATTCCCAACTTTTTCACAGAATTATAAGAAAAACTGCCTGCCCGATACGTATTGGAAGTTAATTTTCGATACGATACATTCCTGAATATTCGATACGTATTGATTAATCGATATATTGACACAGCCCTATCTGCCACCGTTCTGCCCATGAGCGAATCACGTGATCCAGGCGGTCACGTGACATGCTCCGTAGCGTTCTGTTCAAAGAAGTTTAAAGATTTTTCCGAGTCT